CCCTTCCCAAATTCGCCCACCACTCTCTTCCCTGCCGAGCTCTCGCTGACCACTTGTCCCCCTCTCACAGATCCTCTTCTTCGAGGACCAGAACGTCGTCAACGGCATGCAGGAGAAGTTCCCCCTGTACTCTGACAAGTTCCCCATCTGGGCGATGCAGTCCGACGCCATGCTGCAGTTCACCCTGTGGACCGCCCTCGAGGCCGAGGGCCTGGGCGCCAACCTGCAGCACTACAACCCCCTGATCGACTCGCGCGTCGCCTCCGAGTGGAAGATCCCCGACAACTGGAAGCTCAACGCCCAGCTCGTCTTTGGCGGCAAGACGGGCGAGGCCGGCCCCAAGGACTTCCTGCCCATCGAGGAGCGCCTCAAGGTCTTTGGCGCTTAGATTGGCGGGCTTTTTGGAGCAGAGGGAATTATGGGGTATGAAAGCAAGTTTTGACAAGAAACTTGAAGAAGGACACAATCTGCCACGCGGATATAGAGTTTTAGAAGTAGACTCTTGTGATATCTTGGATTGAAATGAGCGATAAACTGTTTGCGCTTGCTTTGCACATGGAACAAAGTTCAAGATACCGGTTTCTAGATAGAAAAGAAACTTCATGAAATGTCAATTGTTTCAGTATTATCATGGGAGTGAATTGCATACTAGAGATGCCAAGGGGGAAAAAAGAGCAACCAAAAATATGCTCTGATTCAGAGCGCATAGGGTATATCCTCCAAAACCATCTCAAAACAGAACGCCAATGATCATGTCAAGACATAAAGGGGACGACAAGCTTCAGCCGCCGTGTTGTGGTACTGTCACATGTTCGTAACACACATTTCGATGTTCAAAGGCTCGCTGCAGGCTCGTATCGCGGCAGATCGATTTCCGCCTCTCTCTTGCTCGGCTGCACCTTCTTGCGCAGCTCGATCGCCTTGATGCGGAACTGCACCTCGGCCATCATCTTGTCCAGCCGCTCCCTCTCCTCCTTGAGCTCCTCTTCCTCGTCGTGTGCAGCATCACCACCACCACCACCACCACCACCACCACTGACAGCGCCCTTCTCCAACCTCTCCTTCTCCGCGCCGAGCTGCCCCAGCGCAACCTCCAGGTCCGCCTGCTCGCCCTCGTACCGCCGCAGCCGCACCGCCTCCTCCTCGCAGAAGAACAGCACGCGCACCAGCGCCTTGACCGCCGGCACGCTGAGCACTCTCACCTGGTGCGTCAGGCGCGGGCCGATCCGGGTCGTGACCGGCTCGTGCGTGCGCGGCGCCAGCACGCCCGCCCTGGCGAGCGCCCTGACCACGGCGTCGGCGTCGCGCCGGGCGTCGCACACGCCC